TTCAAATATGATGCTTAACATAATTTTTCATATTTTATTATTGATTTTTTTTAAAAATTGAATAATATTTTTATTTCTATCACCTGTTTTTTGAAACGTGAAACATGTTTTAATTTAAAAAAAAATATGATTAAATTCTTAGAGGTAATAATATATCAATTTTTTTAACTGATTTGTTAGTTATCTTGTATAAATTTTTTATTTTCTTTTAAACATTTAATAAATATTTTTGGCATTTTTATATGAAAAATTAAATACCATCATATGAATTGATCTTCAAGATGACAATAAATAATGTCAGGTTTAATATTTAACATTTTATACCTGCTCCATTATAAATTGTTTTATAAATCATTTTTAATTATTACTGTTGCCATGCGTCACAGTATAAACGCCGCACATAGGATAAATAAAATTTGTTTTTCTTGCAGTCCCAAATTATAGGGGATCTTTGATAGTTTTTCGTTAAATGCACCCTTTTTAAAATGTATTTTACATCTCCATTTTGTAAGCTAAAAAATTTATGATCTTTTTCATCCCTCCTTAAAAGATATAATATGTTATAATTTCCAATGCCAGAAAAGACGCATTTTTGCCATGTTTATGTGCTAATATCGAAGAAATCTCTGTGATAAATTTACAGAAAAACCGTGATTATAATAAGAGAGAGTAAAATATAGTTATTGTCTTCGAAATTGGGTTGATCTATCATGATGATTAAAAGAAATTAAATGATGTTTGATATTATTGAAGATATCTCATTTACTATTTAACCGAAAAATTTTAATCATAGTGTTTAGTATGCATATAATAAATTATTTAGATCTGAATTCTTAAAATAATCTTGTACTATAATCGATAGTATCGCACATGATTAGATTTCAAATCACATAATCAGTCAATGGAATTTATTTAAATAAATAACCCCCACGATTATTAATACTTAATTAATATTTTTTAAAACCTAAAAGTCAATTATATATTTTTAAAAAAAGTACAATAATATTGGCTAACAAAATATTAAAAGATATATGTTCACACGACCTTATACTCTATTATATTATGTATGTTAAATAGGTGGAAACATTTTTATAATATAATATACATCTACAATATAATATTCTTTTATTGGCCTTTTAATAATTAGATTCGGCTTATTACAATATTTTTAGATGCCAAATAAATTGATTTATGAATATTTTAGATTATCTTATTATAAAGTTTCACATAGAACAGCACGGCACCACTAAAAGATTTTATTTTTGTATAAAAATTTCGCGGAGGATGCCTCATTTATGAAAATTTTGAAAATGTTCTTTTAAAGCTAATAAAATATCAAACTGAATAGAAAATGCTAGGTCTTAAGGTAGTGTCCTAAATTTTTTGAAAAAAACTTCAAAATTTATAAATTTTAGCAAATTAATAAAATTATTAAACATATCCGAAATTTTCAACAAAAAAAACGAGAATAAAATACGAAAAATTAAAATAACATACTTTAATATTACTTACTAGTTTTCATAAAAATTACCTAAATAAATAAATTTTGAATAAATTTTTATCCATAATTTATTAATTTTTTTAAATTAAAATGATTTAGACAATATTTTTACATTAATAATAGAGCTTATGTTATTTTTTTTCTTCAAAATTTATTTATTTATATATATTTTTAAATTTTGGACACAGTCTAAAATATATTTTCAATTATATATGCATCATTTATCTACCTCTAGGCGGAATTTTTTTATATACGAATTACCCACCCCTTGGGCCAGGAATTCAGCCGAGACGGGCTTTGCAGATTTATATTTAGATAGATTTTTAGGCTTGTATATATCCAAAATAAAAAATAACGCCGGTTTTAAATTTATCTTATTACCAATCTTTGCACGAAAAATTGTATATAGTTATATTTTGATCTAAATGCTTTTAATATGGTAAGTTAAGTTTCAAGATTCCAATAATGATTTATTAATTTATTTTGGATAACTAATTTCGAAGTTATGCCTTTTTTGAATATTGTGTTTTGGTAATTGTTTTAAATAGTCATAACAACTTATGTTAGAGTGAATGTAAGATCGTTTATTTAACCATCTGCATAACAAGGTTAAACTTTAGTTTTTACTATCATATTTTTCAAATGTTTCGGTATTTCAATTGATCCCATTACCCAGTAAAAATTCTTGATTTACACGAAGAAGGAATGAATCAGCCCTAACCGAAAAATTTCACTTAAACTGTGAAACGGTCAGAGACAATATTCATAGATTAATTGATCCTGTCAAGTTCTCCCATTAGCTTCAAAAGAGTAACAGCATTCAGGGATAAACATAAATGTGCCACGAATTTTCGGGGAAAATCACGGAAATTTTATAAAGTGATTTTAATTTTAAAATTTTAACTCTACTTTTTAATTTAGCCAACCAAAAGATTTCGCGAAGAAATATAAAGATTACACCTTTACCTAATTGTCAAGATTGAACCTTTACCAAATGGTCAAAGGTTGTGTTTGGCTACGGGTCTATGTTTATTGGAACTTGAGAGTATTCGCAATATTATGATTCGCGAGGCAAATGAAGCCTTCCATCCTGATAAATTAAAAAATTTTGGGAAAATAAAATGTCTAAGCATGACAATATCTAGAAGGTTTCAGCTCGTATTGAAGCTAAAGGTTACATCTCTAAATTTTGACCCATATTATTAATATGTGTTATATCCATACGAATCGATGATAATTTTGTTTATGCTATAATTCTTGACATATTTAATTTTTTTTAAAAAAATTCTTCTTTATATGCACGATTATATGTAAATTTAATGTTATAATTGATAAATAAATAAAATATTTCGTTTTATCTTAATAAAACTTTAATATTGCATTGCATAAAATTAAAAACTGGCGTTATTTTTGATTTAAGATAGTAGTTACATTTGAAAAATATCTATTAACAACTCTAAGTACTAGAATAAAACCTGTTCTGCACTGTTTTTAAAAATTAACATTCTCGAATGATATTTCTCAATTATTATTTTTACATTATGCTTTCAATAATTATTTTTGTTAAGATTTTCTTATATTTAAAAAAAAAATTTGTGTAAACATTTGGTTCAAATTTTTATGTAATTTTTTTAAATTTCCTCATACCATATCCTTTTTCAAATGTTTAAGACATTAAGTATATATTATATTTATGCCAAAAAAAATTAAATAATCATTTTGACATTTAAGTTTGAATAACAATATTATAATTTTAACTAAAACATGATTATTATTATATTAATAGAAATATTTATGAATATTATACCTAAAATCATTTAGAAATATTACAGCAAATTCGGCCTACAATTATTTTATGCCAAAATCGATCTTACCTTTACTAAATTTAATAAGCATACGGTTAATGTGACCACTCGGTCAATTTTTTTAGCCTTTCTAACATTTATTTTATATTGATATTTATTAGGAGTCAAAGTGGGGAAAATCAAAAACTTTAACAATTATTGACTTCCCGACCTCCCTTCAATTAGTGATCTACTAAGACTACATAATTGTTTGTTAAAATACTTTTTAAATAAAATACCTGTCGTATTGTGAAAGATCTAAGAGTGTTTTTTTTTAAAATATAGCAAGTAATAATACCTCTAATTTTTATAAATAAGAAAATTTCAATTAGATTTTTGGGTCAAATATAAAGTAAGCAAAGACCGGAATTTCAGGATTGAATTTAAAATTAAAGAAATTATATATAAGAATTTATATTAACAAAAATTTTAATTCTTATTTTATATTTTATTATTCCTCTAATACATGCAAAATGAAAAAAAATTTAGTATTATGAACCATATATTTTCCAACTCATTTTTAGTTTTACTTATCTATGAACAATGATATTTTTTATTTATTAGGTTTGTTAAATTTAAGACTCAACACAAGAAAAGAAATTATAAAATAAATGACAATTTTTTTTGTAAATATCAGAGATCAGCAGAGGTACCGTTTGCACGGCCCAGCCCGGATTTTTTTAAAATATATTATATTTATTTTTGATTTTTATAGCTAACAATGACGATTTCAAATATTTGGTTTTAAATATACGGCATGGCCCGGGTATATTTAAAAAAATTAATACGCTAGCTGGCGAGAAAAAATTTATTTCGGTATTATCATGAACAATATAATATTATAATAAATCTCGTTATGATTGAGTAATATTCTACTTCCAATAAATCAAGGGAGAAAAATGAATATCCTTTTCCACGAGGAATTCATTAAACTAGACATATTTGGAAGCAGCATTAGATTAAGGAAATGAGAATATAAAATATATTATTTTAAAATTTTGTTATTTAAAAATTAAACTTATTATTTTTGATATTAACATTAACAATTCAAATTAATGATTAATTTATTTTCTCGAACTCGTTATTTATTTCTGATTCCTGCATAATCACATGATAATTTTTATCGCTAGTTCCAGTTTTTCATAGTAAAAATTATGGTCAATTCCATTTCGGTTCTTAGTTTAAATTTATAACGGTTTAGTTTGGTTCTAATTTTGAATAAATCTATATCGATTTCAAAATTTATAAGGGTTGTTCCAATTTTTGTACGATTAGGATTTTTTAAAATAATTTACTATATCTATTATAAAATAAAAACCAAACAAAAAAATTGATACAATCATTTTCCTAAAACCTACTATTGTGCCCTACAATTAAGATATTTTCAATATTCTCTTCAGCCATATCTATATGGTGAAACGATAAATTTTATACTTTAACATGGATAGCTGGCACCTCTAAATAGTACGAAATTACCTAAAAATTCAGACTTATCTTTTTATCTATACAGACCAGGGCTGGATTATTTTTCTTTTTGATGATATTGAAGAAAAAGGAAGTTTAACAGATTGAATTTAGAAAGCAGGGTTTAGTTTGTCCCATTTGCTTTATGCTTAATTTTTTTAAAAAAATTAACACTTTTTCCTATTAAATAGGCCGAGGCCCGTTTGGCAGCTAAAAGATTGGCTCGGTTCGAAGCGAGAGCCTTGCGCATGAGAGAAATTAATAACAATTCTATCAAAAAACCACAATACCCTCCTTCCCTCGATAACAACTTATCTCACCAAATTAACGAACCTACCGAAGAAGTAATTAATTTTTTTCTCATAAATTATATTTTAACTAGTTGATAACCCGTCAAGAATGACGGGAATAATAAAATCTTGAACTATTATATGAAATTTTTTTTTAAATACATTTTTTTATAAAAAATAAATGACAAATTTTAGTGATTATTTATTCATTTTATTAAATTTAGCGTAAAATATATAAAATTATAATCAAAATGTAGGGTAGATAATGATAAATTGGTATTGTATGTCATTTCCAAATTTCAAATATTGTTGTTGAGATAAAATTTTTATATTGGCATATTTTGGGGTGGTAATATGAAATAAATGTTTATTTTTCAATTGGCTAAATATAATTTAAATTTATTTGTTAAATCTAAATTGTAATAAGTAATTAGGATTAGGGGAGATTAATTTTCTGGCATGGGAAGATAGTGATAAATAGGTATTTTATACTATTTGCAGAGATCCCATATTGTGGTTGAGTTAAAAAAATTTTACTGCCATATTTTGGGGTGGTAAATAATTTAAATTTATTTGTTAAATCTAAATTGTAATATAAAAATAATTTTACTTTGAATATAAAGATCTAAATTATATAAATTAAATGAAAAATAAATGTTAATAGCAAAATAATAACATATATAAGAAAGATTATATTACAAAATTTAATATAGAAGGTGGCTGAGTGGAAGAACGTTTGCCTTTAAAACGTTAAGTCATAGGTTCGAATCCCGTGATGTACAAAAAAATTTCTTCAAATTTAACATTAGAGATATATAGTCTACATCGATTTATTTAACATTAAGAAGATAGGAAAGTTGATAGGAAAAATAAAAATTAACATTTAAGATTATACGAAAACGTTCATTTCTTGATTACGGTGATGATATAATATAGATTATCGGAAATTAATCAAATTATATCAATTTATAGCCTTTAAGCTTTTGTATTTTATAAAGCAACCCACAATTACTCGTTTCATTTAATGCAATTACTAACTTATTAATTGCCATTTTTCCTTATTTTGGAATTCCTGAACTTTGGAGGTAAATTTATCATTATGGGTCTAATTTTCGAAACTATGTAGTTAGGTATGGGATTGTATTCCAGCATGTGTATAGTACCTATCTTAGGAAATTCAAACAATTTTGCTATAAAATTTTGGGTTAACTTAAAATTAATTCATAAAACTCTAGGAAAAATCGATTTAAATTAAAATTTATTAAAAATTGTCTGAAATTTATATACAAGATGCTAGAATACAATTCCGATAAATAAATGCACGCTATAATTAGTCGATATCAGTATTTTAGTCAGAAAGAAGGATCAGTCACAATACTTTTTGCTAAGACGAATATTGGGGAATACCTTGATTTATCAAATAAATAATGATTTCGCGCAAACATATTCGCCATAAAAAATTCGCTCTAATGGGTTCTCATAATAAGTTTCGCTCTAATGAATTCGCGGTTAAGGTTTCGCGGAAATAAATTCTCGACAATGGCTTCGCGAAATTGTTTTCGCTAATAATGTTTAGCGGAAAAAAATTCGCAGAATTGGTTTCGCGATATTACCTTCGCTATAAAAAATTTTTCGCAATAAACGACATTCACGATAAAAGTTTCGCGAAAAAGTGTTACGCGATAAAAGTTTCACTGAATTGACCTGATACGAAAATAAAAACATTACATAAAGCATATAAAAAAGTTGTAATTTAATTTTATGAGCAAATTTTTCAAAAAACTAAAGCTGTCCGTTGATAGAAGCTTATTGGAATGTTATTTTTTAATTTTACAACTTATGTTTTTTTTTATTATTTACAATATTTTAAAAAATAAAAAAGTATAGATCAATATTAATTAATATAAGTTTTATATTCGTAATAATAAATAATTTTTCACGATTAAGATTTAACAATTATTTTATAATTAAAAATTTATTCAAATTCAACATTAAAAAAGATTACAATAAGATAAATCTTTGATTATAAATATTAACATACCATACCAATATTTAAAAGGAAACTTTAAAAAAAATTATAGTTTCAAAAATTGGAATAGAAAATGAAAATTAAAATAAATCAAGATTTTTTATTTTGTTTCATAAGTAATGATTACTAGTGCGATTTGGTATTTTAGATTTAAAAAAAACTAAATGGTTAACTAATTGAAATCGCCCTTTCGCTATATTAAGTATAAATTTAGTAAAAAAAATAGTATTAATAATGTTGATTTAAATCACAATTTTTTTCAAGTTGATTTTTATTAGCCAACCCAACAGCAAACGATTATAGTCTGAATCAGATGGAGTTGAGATAATTTCATAGTATAATGTAGAGAGGGCTTCGGGCCGGGTCGGGTCGGGCCTTTTAAATTTAATTAAAAATATTTAGATTTATCAATTTTATATCGAATTTTTTATAAAAATATTTGATTTTATTTATAGAACTAGACGCCATATAACATATATCTTTTATTTTAATTAAATATAAAAATTAATTTCTGTATTTGAATAAAATCAGGCCGGGTGGGTAAATTTTTTTAAAAAAAATTTCGGGCCGGGCTTGAAAAATTAGACCCGATGCAGATCACTAAATGATGATTCTACTTAAGATAAAACTGCCTTCTCATATAAAAAATGATTTACACTTTGGTATTCCCTCATAACAAGCACAATCACTAGAATATAAAACCCATTGATCTTGTCAATTGTTAAATGCCCCTTCTTAGCGTGCTTCTTTTTTTAAAAGGTAGCATTACCTTGCCACTATTTTTTGAAAATATACACCACTTAACGATTTTTGTAACGTAATATACATGAAATATTTTGTAATTAAATTTGAAATTTATTTTATATATGTATTATTTTTTTTACTTTTTGAAAAGAATGATTTTTTTCGCAAAATGTATATTTTAAGGTCAGAACTATCGATCCTAACAATAAAAATGTTAAAAATGAATCTAGATTTCCATGGATCCCTAGGATTAAATTGTACTATGCGCTTTTTAGATTATATTCTATATTCATCCAACTAAAAGGATTGATAAAATAACCATATGATCATTTTATCACCTATTTAATTGGGTTAATATGTTTAGAATTATATTTATCTATAGCCAAAAAAGGATAAATTGTCAATATTCTATCTTCAACATTTTATTTTTTTGAGGATTTTATTATGCTATATCCTTAAAATATGTATTTTTTGGTAATTTTTATTCCTTTTGAGGATTATATTGTGCTATTTTATATTAAAAATATGCTTTTTGGAAATTTTTTTTTGAGGATTATATTGTATTATATCAATTTTAATTAATTTTTCGTGTAAAATGGCCCAAGTGATTGAAGAAGAAAAGATAGACAGGGTCTACGATTATATATCTCTAGTATGAAGGAAGATATTATGAAGATGATGTTTGATTTATGTAAAAACAAATGCAGAGTAGAAAATATAGAACCGGTTTTAGAACATCCTTATAGATTAATATTTAATTATGATTTTAATCTAGGATTTCATAAACTAAAAAATAATAGATTTGATCTATGTGAGGAGTTTAAAATTAAACAGTCCGATATAATTTTTATCAAATATAACAAGCATGTAAATAATAAGAATTCCTCTTGGGAACAACAAAATTTCGATCTATTGAATACCGACAAAGAGGTCGCTGTTTGTTTTAACTTAGAAAAAGTTCTGGACCGTTCAAACTTTATTTTTTATAAGCGTAAATTAAACACTTACAATCTTACAGTCCATTGTAACATCAATAAAAGGGAATAATCCCCTCTATGGTTAGAGGGAATCTCAGGACGGAGTGCAAATGATATTTACTTCAGCTTTAATAAAAATTTTAAATCTAATTTTAGAAGATTTACTTTACCTTAAAGAAATTATTTTGTGGTCGGATTCATGTATTCTGCAAAATAGTAATTCCATCATATCATTTAGTTTGATCCATTTTTTGATGAAGTATCCATCAATTATAAGCATAACACAAAAATACTCGGAAACGGGCCAGAGATCGACAACGTATAGTCGGATCTTAAAAGTTAATTTTTTTTAATTATTCTGAAATTTACAGCCTTTAAAGCATAGCGTATTTTACCAATTTTGAATAGATCCAATCCATTTAAGGTATGCCACCTAAATAATCATGAAAATTTTTTGAAATATCATAGTAGTTCCAAATGTTTTAACCTTAAAGATCCCATATGCATCTATCAAACAAATTTTATAATCACGGTCACTCTATGACCGTATTTTATAAAACTAATCATAAAGATGATATGTTTTTAAGTCATTAATAAATCCAAACCAAAAATAAATATTATGATGTCAGATATCCAAGATTGCGACTAGTAAAAAAATTGCTTTGATAAGCAAGGAAAAGGTCGAAGACCTAGTCATTGTTCAAATTTTTCCCAGAATTTGATAGAATTTATACATTATCTTCTCAATAGGAAAATAATTTTAAAAATATTTTTACATTTAAATTTCCTCAAACGTTATATTATATTTATATGGCATGTAATAAAACCGATAAATAAAAAATAACCTGTTAAAATTTATTTTTGGAGAAAAATTAAAAAAAAATGCTAATTTTACATGGATATAGAATAAAAAAACATGAATTTGAAATTTGATTTTTATACATTTATATTCTATCTACAGGACATAGAAAACATTTACAAATTTTTTGCAATTAGAAATATTATGTCCGCATTTAGAAAAATTATATTGCAATTTTCCGGAAAACTATATTTAAGTTATATATAAAAATTAATTCATATATTATTTTCAGTGTGATCTTTATAAAAAAACTAAATTTCTATCTCTTACCGTTTTGAAAATAGGATGACCATTTTTTAAAAACGTTCTCCTGTAAAGTTGGGAAATGTGGAGATAGAATAGTATAATACTCAGGCGACGATAGGGTAAAATAGTATATTTGTAGTAAAACATTAAAAAAATAAAACAATGTGTTTATATTTTTGCACATTACTTACAAAATAAA